GTGGGACAAAGAGAAAAAGAGAAAAGAATGAAAATGTTTGTACAGAGATATTCCGGTTATTAAATTTTGTTATACGAGGAAAAAAAAATGGGGGAGAATGGCGCGGTGGATGTTGACGAGAGAATAAATTAAAAAGAAAAAAAAAAAATAAAATTACAAACGAGAGAGTGAGGAAGAGTGTGAACGAGAGAAATACTACTGACGAGAGAGAGAAAACAAATTTACGAATCATGTGTATTTTCTTCGTGAAAAAAAAAAATTGATATTCAATAGGTCATTACGGAAATATAAACATGAGTATTAAAGAAAAAAAAAAAAAAACGTGAACTGTATTCGTGAGTGTCATATTTCTAAGGAAGATAGATCCACGGGCGAATGTTTTATAGCAGTTTCCGGCCAAATTTTCACATTTCAGGTTGAATTCAAAGAATGAAAAAAAAAAAAAAAAAAAAAAGGAAAAATACACTCACACGATATATTAGCTGCACTTGAATAAAATAACCGAATTGTGTTTTCAGGAAAATAAGTTTAAACAAAGGATATAAATCAAAGGTAAGAGATAAAAAATAAAAAAGAGAAAAAAAGTTCGTGGCACGAAATGAAAAGAGGAAACTGCTTTTGAAACATTGCCCAGCGAAACCAAAGTTCCTACTACGTTTTATAAAGTATATAACTGAACTGCAAAACTTGAATTGTACATAAACGAGGGTTAAGCTAGCACACGATCCACAAATACAATCATCAATCGAACGACGCTAAGAGACAAGAGGGATGCAGGGTCAATTGATTCCACGTCACGATTCGTTATTATTAATTTATTATTAATACAAAATTTCAACAAATTCGAGAAGATTACACGTAACACGTCCACGCGATACATTCGAGTGGAAGAAAGAAAAAATAATAATAATAATCTTTTAATAAACCATCGTCTTCGCAATTTAAAAGACGGGGGACAATTGATCGTGACAGCACAATAAATGATGAGCATAACGGAACACGCTACGAGAGAGGAAAACGCGTTAATATACATACATAAGCCACGTAAACACACACATGTACACGCACATATACAATTTAATACGAGGCACATTCAGACATACATATATACATACATTATTACACACGTACACGTACATGAGACACACGCGTACAGTGAAAAAAGGAAATTAAAACACATTAAGTATACAATTAAATTAAGCAGCCGTAGCCTTTAGCTTGAATGTTAGCACCTAGACACACGATGTAACATTAAACTACGTATTTAAAAGGAAAAAAATTAAAAAAAAAAAAAATGAAGAACATGAAGTGGAACGGAGAAAAAAAAGAATCTTTAGCGGTTAAGCGAACTATCTGTGTAAAATCTAGTAGGTGTCCACAAGAATAAAATAAAAACATATATTGTGGTACAAATCACACAAAGATCGTACCTTCAAGGTCCTGACTGCGCCTCCAACCGAACTCTTTCTTGTACATATAATTTTTTATATGCCGATCTGATTTGTGTATGATTTCTATATATACGAGATATGTATACCGCAATTTATAATATTATTAACACACGATAATCCTATTGTCGAGCGTTTTCAAATAATCCGAAGAATTATCGCTAGTAAAATCAGCTCTTTTTCTTTCTTCTTTAATTCACCGCCCTCTGTGTTTAACAATGATGCTATATATATATATACATATAAATTACTTTTAAATACCAACCAAAAATTCTTATAATTTTCTTTTTTTTTTTTTTTTGGTATTACATCATGGAAAGCTCGAAGAAGCGTTTACATTTGGAGAATCGTTACTTCGAATCGACAAAAATATAATGTATGCAGAGGAATGTTTTACAAGAGAATCATATACTTTCAGTTGTAAAGATTCATTAATTTCATTTTTATTAATTCAAAGTTTCGTCGTGTCATTAATTTCGTTGTTTGTAACCAACTCGAAATCTGGTTTTGATTCTGGAATTGAATCATTGATTTTTTTGAACCATTCGATCATACCATAACCGATCATTCCAAAACAGAGGATTCCTATGAGGATGTAGAGCTTTATCTCTGTGCACAGGTAAGGACTGTACACATACGTAATCACAGAACCTGTGGATTCCCACAGCCGGAAATTTGAGAAGGCGGCTTCTTCCTTGCCCGGGAATAGTAAGCCTGACAGAGCTAAAAATTATAAG